AAGTTGCCGGCGGCGCCTGTGAGGATATGGCAGCAGGTGAATTGGGATATCGGGCGAACGGTGAGAGGGGTAAAGGAGGCGTTGAAATGTACGGTGGCACGACGGCGAACGGCGTTGAAAGCGGCGCGGTGGTGGTAAACGGTNTAGACGGCGCCGCCGGCGATGGTGGTGTGGAAGTTGCCGGCGGCGCCTGTGAGGATATGGCAGCAGGTGAATTGGGATATCGGGCGAACGGTGAGAGGGGTAAAGGAGGCGTTGAAATGTACGGTGGCACGACGGCGAACGGCGTTGAAAGCGGCGCGGTGGTGGTAAACGGTGGCGCGGCGGCGAGCGGCGTTGCACGTGGCGCGGTGGTGGTGTACGGTGGCGTCGCAGGCGGCGCGGTGACCGGTGGCGATGGTGTGGCTGCGATAGACGGCGCCGCCAGCGATGGTGGTGTGAAAGTTGCCGGCGGCGCCTGTGAGGATATGGCAGCAGGTGAATTGGGATATCGAGCGAACGGTGAGGGGGGTATAAGAGGCGGTGAAATGTACTTGATTAGAAACGGTGCGGCGGCGACATCCGAATCCCCCCCTTCGCCCGCCGGCGCCGGCATCTCCAGCGGCGGGGTCAGCAACGGCGCGCGGTTGGAGACCCACACGACGTTGTTCGTCATGCACACGCGCCCCGTCGCAAACTTGAGGACCTTGACCACCGACTCGTGATGGTTGTCGCCGTTGTTGAGGTAGCAGCACAGCACTACCTGGGGATCCATCTTCCGCGCCCACATCACACGAATGTACCCCGGCTGTAAGAACGGGACGATCTGGAGCGGGGGCGGGTGGCCGGTGAAGAGCTCGTGCGGCGATTTGTACCCGACGTTTGCCTTGGTCGGAGAACGGTTGAAGCCGCCGGCAGCCCAGTGACACGACTCTAGCCAAAGTCGCTCGCCATCGCGTCCGAAGCCGGGGACGCGCGTGAAGTCGATCTTGGCGAACAGGCGGCGTGCCTCGAGACGAGCGGCGTGGCCGGCCTTGTTCACGCGCCAGATCGCACTCTCCGCCGGACCATTCTGCTGCGGGGTGCCCGGCGCCGTGTACGTACGGCGGATGTCGGCGTTGTCGCAGAAGGCGATGAAGTCGCGGCTGACGAACTCCCCCCCGTTGTCCATCCGGAAAGAACGAGGGACACCGGTGCCACTAATGTCGGCGAGGAACTTCTTGACGAAGGCGAGGGTGTCCGACTTGCGCCTCATCCCATACAGCTTCATCCACCGCGAGAAGCTGTCCACGAACATGATCATGAAAAACGACCCCCCCAGCGAGGCCGGCATCGGCCCATATAGATAGATATGCCAAAGATCATGCGGCCGCTCCGCGCCCGTGCCCGATTGGTGAGGCCCGCCCGCGTTCTTCCCCTTCGCCTGCAGACATCCACCACAAGGCTGCAGGACACCGGTCAGTCGGAGACCGTGCTGCTTCGCAAGCTCAAGCAAAAGAAACTCATTGGCGTGGGAGCACGAACCGTGGAGAAGGTTAACGTCAATAATCTTGGTGGGTTCCCCCACCGAAAAATGGCGCTTGCCCGGGGCCATGACGGGGACGGCGAAAGCAACATAATCGAAAACATTTCCAAATTCAGACTCAAACATAAAGTCTAAAAACTCGTAGGGGTCTTCTGATACCTCTCTTTGTTCAAATAGGTACACAGCCCACTCGTAATCTCGCTGCTCTATGTACGGAATGCATCCACGGTCATCATCGTCATTACTCTCCTGAAAAATGGAGATGTCGGGCGAGGGCAGCCCGGGGACAGCTACCAACTCCATACCATGCGGCACTTGAGGAGCGGAAGGAAACTCCACACTCCTGTCAGCGGGGGGGGGGGCATGCATTGCCGGAGGAACGACGCTGCTCGCAGCGGGCGGGAGACCGTACACAATTGATGACACTACGCTGTTTGCAGCGGGCGGGAAACCGGGCACAGTAGAGGACACTACGCTGTTTGCAGCGGGCGGGAAACCATACACCGTGGAAGGTACGACGCCGGCAGCAGCGAGCGGAAAATTCGACACGGTAGATTGAACAACACTCCTGGGAGCGGTATGAGGTACAGACATCACCGGAGGCACTACGCTGCTTTCAGCGGGCGGGACACCTGACACTGCGGAAGGAACGTATGCTACACCCGGAGGGGGGGAAAACACCGGTGGGGTTTCTGGCATCACTCTACCATCACTCGCATGTAAACATACACCAGCAGCGCGGGGAGGGGGCACCGGGGGAAAAGGCATCACAGGCACAGCGGTGGGCGTTTCATAGTTGGGCGGCAAGCGGGTGGCCCAAAGCGACGAACCCTCCTGCCACGGGGAAGGTCAATTGGCCATGGAAAAAATGGGTGCCTACGTCGTCCAAGGCAATACGTTGCAATCCCTGTGCTTGGTGGAGGGAGAAAAGATTGAACCCCATTCCTTCTACATGACGTACTCGGGTAAGCTTCACGCAAAAGTCTCTACGTTCAAGATGAAACCTCATATTTAAACATCCGATTCCAAGCACTCGCATCGTCCCGCCATCACCGATCTGCACTCTCTTGCTACCAAGGGGCGGGATGATCATATCGTACATGTTCGTGGGGTCTCCGGTGGTGTGGTTAGTTGTACCGGAGTCTGCAAGCCATTCTTCAACTCCTATTCGCTCCGCCCTCACAACCGTTCATCAAGGCATACCCCTCACTCCCTTCGAATCCACTCGAGATCTCACTCTGGTACTCACTTGACATGTCCCTTACAACACACGCATGCAAAAGTCCCCCGTGCCGACGAAGGTGCTCCGGTCGAAGGCGCGGGAGAGGCGTAAGGGGCGGAGACTGGCTGCTACTGTTGGAAGGGGGGGGATAGGTACTCCGGCTGCTGCTGTTGGGGTGGGAATTCGTCACATCACTCGCGTGCGTCACCGGTTGTGGATAGAAACCGGTCACGTGCGTCACTGCATGCCCCCCCGTAGATGGCACTGCCGTCGTCGCCACCGTCGCGCCTGCTGCTCCTGGCTCTACCCCTTCTCCGCCGTACTGCTGCGCGATGTTGGCCTTCCCGTACGAGTGGGCCCATGGCGGCCGCTGGCTGTAGCCACCGACCGGCGGCCGGGGCGGTGGGGGCCTAGGCGGCGCGTTGGCGGCCGGCATGCCAGCTGGCCTTCCAACATCAACACGTGAAGGACATAACAGATGGTTGTGGCCGAGTTCACCGCAGTTTTCACATCGCTTGCGAGGGTCATTCGGGTGGATGGGGGGTTCATTTCCCTGCGGCCGGTACATGTGGGGGGGGTAGGCGCTCAAGTCGTAGCCCCGCTGAGGTACACGGTAGGCGGGGAGGTTGCTGCCCGGCGGTCCCTGGTGAAAAGGGCCCCTGCCCCTCCCACCGGAAGAGGCGCCACGCCCCCCGAATCTTCCTCCTGCCGGCTGCTGCTGATGACGTCCTCCTCCAGAAAAGCCCCGCTACGGCATGCACGACTATGAGTACACCCNGCCCGAGGGACCTCCCCAACCCCGCTGCAAGCGACATTCCTCGTTGCTGTGGGACGAGGAGTTGTGGAGGTCACAATATTTTATCTCAGGCGGGTACGACGGCGGGTATACCTGTTGCTGCTGCTTGAAGTACGGCTGATGCTGCTGCTGTGGCTGCTGCGGTTGTTGCTGCTGTTGCCGCGCTGCCGTCCTCCGTTGTCCTCTCGTCTTCCCCCTATCCCCCATGTTCCCGCCCCCGCCACCACGGTTATAACCGCCAGTGACGAGGGCATACGTCGCCACGCTCTCCGACGCCCTCTTCCTAGCGGCCTCCGTCTCCGCCCAGGCAGTCAGAATCACCTTCTCTACCAATTCCGTCTTGACCTCCGAATGCGCCAACAACACGCTCCT